ACGAGTTCCCCAATGGGCTGCTAGGGCCCCATTGCAAGGCCCCTTCTGGACTGCATGCGGGGTCGTTGCACAACCCCCGCCGGGCCACCTGAGTTTCCCAGCGCATTGCTATGCTTGGCCGGGCTACAGGGGGTTCCAGGCCATTAAATGGCTCCTGGATGACTACCTGGAGTCCTAAATCTTGGATGCCCCTTCGTCCCCTCCCTGTGTCGGACTGCGTGCAGCCCCAGGTCACTGCTTGACTGTCATGAAGCTGCTTGGAGCACTTTCATTGCATGGCCCCGACTGGACAACTAGACTTTTCAGACCCGTTGCACTCGGTGTACATATAGACTCTTATACACATGTTCACCAGCATACTGATTCTTGAATCGCATGGCAGGCCCTGACCTTTGTAACCTCTTGCTGCCAGGCTCCAGTGGGCACTAGTAGATCTGGAATGCCTGGCCCTTCACTCCACCTCTGTCTTCCCCCAGGATGGGAGCTACAGTTTTTGTCCAGCCCCTGGACCTGGTGAAGAACCGGATGCAGCTGAGCGGGGAAGGGGCCAAGACTCGAGAGTACAAAACCAGCTTCCATGCCCTCACCAGTATCCTGAAGGCAGAAGGCCTGAGGGGCATTTACACCGGGTATTGGGGCCTCAGGATGGAGGGAGGCTGTGGGTTGGTAGCTCCGGACCTTGGCCTGATATGCTGACCCCTCTGCTCCTCAGGCTGTCGGCTGGCCTGCTGCGCCAGGCCACCTACACCACTACCCGCCTTGGCATCTATACCGTGCTGTTTGAGCGCCTGACTGGGGCTGATGGTACTCCCCCTGGCTTTCTGCTGAAGGCTCTGATTGGCATGACCGCAGGTGCCACTGGTGCCTTTGTGGGAACACCAGCCGAAGTGGCTCTTATCCGCATGACTGCGGATGGCCGGTGAGTTCCAAGTCTGAGCCTCACCCCAGCCCCATTCCCTGGAATCTAGAATGAAAGGACCACTTTTCTATCCCAGATCTAGAGCAGAGCGTTTACCTGTTCTGGCCTTCCTTTCTTTGCATCTGTGGGCCCCTGTGGGCTATCCTTATCTTGACCTCTTCCTGCCTTCCCATCAGGCTTCCAGCTGACCAGCGCCGTGGCTACAAAAATGTGTTTAATGCCCTGATTCGGATCACCCGGGAAGAGGGAGTCCTCACCCTGTGGCGGGTGAGTGGAGGGGCTGGAGACTTGGGGGCTGTGAAGTCCGGTTTTAGGGGTTTCTGACTCTTGCCCGCTCCCCTCCCTCCAGGGCTGCATCCCTACCATGGCTCGGGCCGTCGTTGTCAATGCTGCCCAGCTGGCCTCCTACTCCCAATCCAAGCAGTTCTTGCTGGACTCAGGTGAGACCCAGAGCTGGGCCCTTAGCTCCCCGCCTGGCCTGAGCCACCTCTGAGCTGACTGCCACCCCCGCCTCACCTCCCCCAGGCTACTTCTCTGACAACATCTTGTGCCACTTCTGCGCCAGCATGATAAGCGGTCTTGTCACCACTGCTGCCTCCATGCCTGTGGATATTGCCAAGACCCGGTGAGTGTGCAGTCTGGTCCTGGAGGTGGGTGGGAAGGTGTCCTTTTGGTCTCTCATGCCCCTGCCTCCTCCCCTTCAGAATCCAGAACATGCGGATGATTGATGGGAAGCCGGAATACAAGAACGGACTGGTGAGGAAGCCATTCTGGGAGCCTGGGTGGGGTGTCGGATCCCCTGAGAAAGGTGTGAAGGCAGCTGGGTAAGGGGGATGGGGCCCTAGAGTCCTAGCCCCAGCACCCTGCTTGTTTGTGTCTAGGATGTCCTGTTCAAGGTTGTCCGCTACGAGGGCTTCTTCAGCCTGTGGAAGGGCTTCACACCGTACTATGCCCGCCTGGGTCCCCACACCGTCCTCACCTTCATCTTCTTGGAGCAGATGAACAAGGCCTACAGGCGTCTCTTCCTCAGTGGCTGAAGCGGCCGGGGGCTCCCACTTGCCTGCTGTGTCTATGGCCACTGCGCCCTGGGGGCCTGGGCTCTGCTGCCCTGGACCCCTCTATTTATTTCCCTTCCACAGTGTGGTTTCTTCTTCTGCGGTAAAGGACTTGGTCTGTTCTACCCCCTGCTCCAGCTTGCCCTGCTCATCCTGATCCTGTGATTTCTCTGTCCCTGGCTATTCTTGCAGGGAGCTGGAAAACTTCCTGAGGATTTCTGGCCTCCCCTTGGGTTTTAGTTTCAGGGCACACAGGACAGCAGAAGATCCCCCTTCTCAGTGGGGAAACCAAGGCAGAACTGAGGGGACAGGGAGGAGCAGAAGCCATCAAGATGGTCAAAGGACCTACAGAGGGAGATGTGGCCCTTCCTCCCCCTCACTGAGGACTTAATAAATCGGATTGATGACACCAGCCCCAAATCTGGAGAGTCTGGGGGGTGGCTAGGAGAGGGGAGGAGACTGGACAAAGAAGCTGGTGCCCCTGGAGAATAGGAACTGGAGTTTTTAAGAAAAATTGTTAAAGAAAAAGCAGCCACTGGTTTTATGCAAATGCTGTGTAAATCTGTCATGCCACAGCAGCTGACAGGGCTGGAAAAACTCAAATCCCAGGCCCGGCGTGTTTCCTCCAGCCACTTGCCCAAGAATGCCACAGACGCACAGATCATTTCACATAATCCCCAGGAAAAGCCCCTCGGTCTGATGACTGCTTCTGCAGCCTAAAGAGGGAGGAATTAAAGAGACCCTGAGAGAGGAAGACCATTGTGGGCTGGAGGCAGTGCGGGTGGAGGGCCAGGGCTTAAGTGGGTGGGCACTGGAAGCTTGAGGAAAGGGGGATGCTGGCCAGAGACCTGATCTTCGTCCTTGGCTGGGGAGAGTGAGAACCTTATCCATTTCTTTAGAAGAGGTGTGTTTCCCAGGCCAGCCCTCAAGGAGCCTTAAAACCTCTTCGGGGCATAAAAGAACTTGGGAAGGTCAAACTGAGGAGTGCTGGCCAGGCTAGGGGACAGGCAGGCAGCAGGTGGGAGCTGTCCCTTTGGCAGAGCCTCATCAGCAGAAGAGGTGGAGCTCAGCATCGTGGCACCCCTGCTGCTGCCTCCGTGTACACTCTGTCCTGGGCCTTAGTGGCTATTGTGAGACACTTGAAGCCTAGACCTTGTCCTTAAGGAGTTTCCAGTCCAGAAGGAAAGATTATACAGGAGAAGTTGGGAAACTGAGTGTAGCAATAGTGTTGCAGGGTAACCTGGAAAGCACCTGACCTCACCTGGGAGAAGTGACTTGCACACTGAGTGGTTATTCTGACTGGGGAGGGGGCAAGGACAGCACACCTGGCTGGACTGAGGGCAAAGGCCTAGATTAAAACACTGTCGGGGAGGCCGGGCGCGGTGGCTCAAGCCTGTAATCCCAGCACTTTGGGAGGCCGAGACGGGCGGATCACGAGGTCAGGAGATCGAGACCATCCTGGCTAACCCGGTGAAACCCCGTCTCTACTAAAAAAATACAAAAAACTAGCCGGGCGAGGTGGTGGGCGCCTGTAGTCCCAGCTACTCGGGAGGCTGAGGCAGGAGAATGGCGTGAACCCGGGAGGCGGAGCTTGCAGTGAGCAGAGATCCGGCCACTGCACTCCAGCCTGGGCGACAGAGCGAGACTCCGTCTCAAAAAAAAAAAAAAAAACAAACAAACAAACAAAAAAAAAACACTGTCGGGGAGCAGGTGATCTATAGGCTTGTGATAGTTGGAGCACAGGCTGTGATCTGCCTTGAGATGAAGCTGGACTGTCAGATGGGGTCAGTGCGTGGCACGCCCTGACTGCCAAGCTCAGGAGTTGGTCCTCCACCTGGGGAGAGATGCAGTCAGACTTTCAGGTTTGGGAGATCTTCCGGGACCGTCTGGAGGGGGATGGGGGTCTCCATGGTCCCATTCTCTGGGCTCCAAGCCCTGAATTGGGCTAGAGACAAGGCAGGAGAGGAAGCCACACCAGTGTGTTTAGGGAATGGCAGGATTTATGAGAAAAATGGGGTTCCGTTTGCCTGTGTCCCAGCCTGCGAGCAGGAAACCCAAGACTATTCAGTCACACTCACCAAATGGTGCATGCTGCAGGGCCCACCCCTTGCTGTCCTGCTGACCTGGGCAGTGAGAGCTGCACTTCTGAGACTGCAGGTGCAAAGCAGGCACCCACCTTTGCCCCTAGTACTGCAGGCTGCTGCCAGGTGGGTGTCAGCAGTTATCGTTAAACTCCAGGAAGACGACCATTTTTGAGCTGGATCTGATGCCTAGGGTGGCCTGGTGGGTGGCCAGCCCTGGAGGAGAGAAGGAGGCACCCCAGGCAGGGGAAGTGCAGGCTATCACTGAAGGTCTATTGGATACGTTGTGACCAGTGTAGGGGCAGTTGGAGCCTTGTGAATTCTCATGGCAGGTGCCCCAGCCACTCTTCACCAAAAGAAACCAAGTCGTTTTGAGACAGGCTCTCACTCTGTCACCCAGGCTGGAGGACAGTGGCACAGTCAGGGCTCACTGCAGCCTCCATCTCCCAGGCTCAGGTGATCCTCCCTCCTCAGCCACCCAGGTACCTGGGACCACAGGCACACACCACCACACCTGGCTGACATTTTGTATTTTTTGTAGAGATCAGGTTTTGCCATGTTGCCAAGCCTGGCGTCAAACTCCTGGGTCCAAGCAACCCACCCGCCTCAGCCTTTCAGAGTGTGGAATTACAGGTGTGAGCCCCTGCACCTGGCCAGAAGGCTTTTTTTTTTAGATGGAGCCTCACTCTGTTACCCAGGCTGGAGTTCAGTGGCACAATCTTGGCTTTCTGCAACTTCCACTTCCCAGGTTCAAGCAATTCTCCTGCCCCAGCCTCCCGAGTAGCCGGGATTACAGGTGTGCACCACCATGCCTGGCTAATTTTTGTGTTTTTAGTAGAGACCGGATTTCACCATGTTTGCCAGGCTGGTCTCTAATTCCCGACCTCTGGCGATCCACCCACCTTGGCCTCCCAAAGTGCTGGGATTACAGGCATGAGCCATCACTCCCAACTCTAAAATTATTTTTTATTATACAGATAATATACAATAACAGTGGAAAACTAGAAAATGCTAAACAGGGAAAAAGAAAATAAAACCACCCATATTTGTAACATCCAGACACAATGAGTGCTCACATCCTGATAAATCACTTTCCAGATTTTCTTCTGTGCATAGATGCACGTGGGAACCATGCTGTATTCTGCCAAAATGATTCACCGGGAGGTCTGGCAGCGCCTCATGCAGCATCGGGAGCTTTGTCCTGTGACCCACCCAACTCCATGTCATTACCCCTTCCGCTTTGCTGGGACTGAAGTTGTGTGCCTGTGGTGTGAAGAGAGGGCTTCTGATACAGAAAAAGGAATTAAGACCCCTTCCCCATGACTCTATGTTCCTTATCCCCCCAACCCCCAACTAGATTCGATAGGAGAGCCCATAGGCTCCTCTCTCAAGGTCCACAAGCCTCCCACCCTCAGAGGCTGTGGCCAGAGTACCTAATGCTCACTGTGCCCAGCAGGTCCTGACCACGACCCTGACTCAGAGCTGAGGGCCTCCTTCCTGCCACTAGAGGCCCCACACGGCCATTAGGCCGTACCCACAGGAAGAGGCTGGAGCGGAAAGTGGGGAGTGAGCCTCGAAGGAAGAGAAGCCAGGCCCGGGGCACCATCACTTGCCGTCCCCTCTGCAGCTCCAGATGTGTGGTTTGTGTGGCTGTGGCCAGAGGAGCACCTTGGCCAGAGTCCAGGGCGTGTGGTTTCACATGCCTGACCCAGGTCAGCATCAGGATGAGGACCACAGAGGCAAAGAGCAGCCAGAGGAGACCCAAGACATAGAAGCCCAGGGGGAGGAGGCAGCAAAAGTCGGGGTGGAGAAAAGGGTCATTTCTGTAGCTCTCGAAATGCCCTTGGAGCACCGCACGGAGCTTTGGTTGCTGATCAAATTCAAGGATGGTTTTTTTGGTGGATTCTAAGAGTGATACGGGTTTTGTGGTAGTCAAAAATATGATGCTTTTTGGAGTGATCAGGCTTGTGGCAGACTCAGGGATGGTCGGGCTTGAGGCCAGCTCTGGGGTGATCGGGCTTGGGGTGGGCTCTGGGGTGGTCTGAGTTGGAGTGGACTCTGGGGTGGTCTGAGTTGGAGTGGGCTCTGGGGTGGTCTGAGTTGGAGTGGGCTCTGGGGTGGTCGGGCTTGGGGCAGGCTCTGGGGTGGGCTCCGGGGTGTGGTAGTCAAAATATGATGCTTTTGGAGCAGATCAGGCTTAGGCAGACTCAGGGGATGGTCGGGCTTGAGCCAGCCTGGGTGATCGGCTTGGGGGTGGGCCTCTGGGGTGGTCTGGAGTTGGAGCAGACTGGGGTAACTGCTGAGTTGGAGTGGGGCTCTGGGGTGGTCGTGGGCTTGGGGCAGGCTCTGGGTGGGCCTCCGCACGGCTGAAGGGCTCCGGGGTGGTTGGGCTTGGGGCAGGCTCTCTGGGGTGGTCGGGCTTGGGGCAGGCTCTGGGGTGGGCTCCGGGGTGGCTGGGCTTGGGGTGAACTCCGGGGTGGTTGGGCTTGGGGCGGGCTCCGGGGTGGTCGGGCTTGGGGCAGGCTCTGGGGTGGGCTCTGGGGTGGTTGGGCTTGGGGTGGTCTCTGGGGTGATGGGGCTTGGGGTGGGCTCCCAGGTGGTTGGGCTTGGGGTGGGCTCCCAGGTGGTCGGGCTTGGGGCGGGCTCTGGGGTGGGCTCCGGAGTAGTTGGGCTTGGGATGGGCTCTGAGGTGGTCGGGCTTGGCGTCAGTTCAGTAGTGGATTTTGGAGTTTTGGAGAACGTGGCGGATCCCATGTGAAGTGTGAAATCTGAGGTCCATCTGGGTGGGAATGTGGTCTGCTCCTTAGTGGATTCTTGTGTTGGATGCAAGGAGGAGGGCATCTGGCCGTCTAGAGAAGCAGCAGACCGTGAGTGGAATAGACCCCAGGGAGTTGTGTGGGCTTTGGTGGAGAACTTGACCACAGTCCTCGTGGCACGCACCTCATCACCCTCAGTGTCCTCGTCTGTGTAGTAATCATATAGGCCTGGGTCATCTTCATCACCAAGGGTGGGGCATCCCTTTCCTGGGTATTTGTAGACAGGAGTCTTGTCTGAATTGTCACACTGCACACTGGCCACGTTAGAGGTCATGGCTTTGACGTCCACACCTTGCTTCCACACGTAGACATTTTCGGCATTGTCCTGCAGCCAGCGACGAAAATAGAGGATCTCACAGTTGCATAACCAGGGGTTCCCATGGAGAAAAGCAAAAGGCAGGAGGTGGAACCCAAAAAAGCCCTTTGGTATCGTATACAGCGAGTTCTCTTGGAGGAGAAGGGTGTCGAGATTCCCCAGCCCATCCAGGAGCCCGGCGGGGAGCTCGGTCAAGTGGTTGTTAGCCAGACTGAGCTTCTCCAGCTTGGGTGTGGGTGTCAGGAGCCCTGGGGGCAGGGTCTTCAGCTCATTGCCTTTCAGGTAGAGCTCTTGGAGTTTGCCAAGACCATGGAGGGCACCAAGAGGCAGCGAGGTCAGCTGGTTGAAGGAGACGTCCAGGATGGTGAGAGCAGGCAGTGACTGCCCTAGCAAGGGCAGGCTTTGCAGCTTATTGTGGGATAGATCCAGGGTCCCCAGCACTGGCAGTGTCCCATCGACCTGGAGCTTGGTGAGCTCGCACTTATCTAAGTACAGCTGAGCAAGGCGAGTGAAAGGCACCAGGGATGCCAGGGAGAAGGTGTACAGGAGGTTCTCACCCAAGTGGAGGATTGTCATGTCTTTTGGCAGGTCTGGAGGCAGCGCTATCAGATTCCTCTTGTCACAGTTCACTTCTAGGTGGCTGGCCACTTTGGAGACCTCACAGATGGGGTGGGGATGTAAGGGGCTTGGCAGCAGGAGCAGCAAGAGGAGGAGAGGCATGAGGACCTGTGGGCAAGGGGGCCTTGAGTGGACCCCCCTGCAGCCCCTGGAAGCATTCCCCCAGGTCCCAGCCCCCTTCCCCCTGCAGCTTCGCTTCCAGAAACAGCGTTCACACCTCCTGTCCTCCCTACTCCCCTCTCCCACCCTTGCCTGCAGAGCTTAAACTACTAGCTCCAGGCCCTCTTTCCCCTCCCTCCGACCCCTCTCCTGCCCCAGCACCAACCCCGGCTTACAGGCAGGCAGAAAGACCTCCGAAGGCACACAGCGTCTTCTGAGGTGCCACTCAACTCAGTCCTTCTCTCTTCTAGCCCCATGGAGGACTAAGCCAGTGGCAAGGAAGGGGATGGGGGTGAGGAGGAAATGCAGGCCTGATAGGGATTCCAGTGACCAGGAATCCCTTGGACACAAGCCCTTATCGCCTCACTCCATGGCTTTCCCCCAAGCCGTCTTTGTGGTTCTCTCTTCCGCTTTCCTTTTACACAGGGGAGATGGGGGTGGACTCCTCCAAACAGCCTTCCGCCATCTTTTAAAAACCTCTCCAGGGCCGGGCACAGTGGCTTACACCTGTAATCCCATAGCTTTGGGAGGCTGAGATGGGTGGATCACCTGAGGTTGGGAGTTCGAGACCAGCCTGACCAACATGGAGAAACCCTGTCTCTACTAAAAATACATTAGCCAGGTGTGGTGGCACATGCCTGTAATTCCAGCTCCTCAGGAGGCTGAGGCAGGAGAATCACTTAAACCCAGGAAGTGGAAGGAGGTTGCGGTGAGCCGAGATGGTGCCATTGTACTCCAGCCTGGGTGACAAGAGCGAAACTCCATCTTAAAAACAAAAAAAACTCTCCAGATGCCACCTTCTCTTCCTCTTCACAGCTGCATTCTGAGAATTGCCTACTTTTTTTTTTTTTTTTTTTGAGATGGAGTCTCACTCTGTCACCCAGGCTGAAGTGCAGTGGCACCATCTCGGCTCACTGCAACCTCCGCCTCCCGGGTTCACGCCATTCTCCTGTCTCAGCCTCCCGAGTAGCTGGGACTATCGGCGCCTGCTACCATGTCCGGCTAATTTTTTGTATTTTTTTTAGTAGAGACGGGGTTTCACCGTGTTAGCTAGGATGGTCTCGATCTCCTGACCTCGTGATCTGCCCGCCTCGGCCTGAGTTGCCTACTTTTAATTCTCCCCCACCTTTCTCTCTGCCTTCTCATTCCCAGTCTATGCTGATTTCTTTCCCCTGCTACTCCATTGACTCAGTTCTTACCAAGGTCTTTAATGCCCTCCCTTCTCTACGTCCGTGGGACACTTCTCCACTGTGATCTTACTTTATTTCAGCAGCCCACATACCCATGGCCTCTCACCCCTTGGGATTCTCCTTTTGGTCTCTCTGTGACACATGACCCTGGGATTTTCTTGGTTTTCTTCTTACCTGTTTGGTTGGGCCTTCTCAGTCTCCTTCACAGATTCCCCTTCCTGTGCCTTTCCTGAACAATTAACCTGCCCCCAGAGTTTGTGCTTAGGATCTCTTCTTTCCCTTTTTTTTTTTGAGACAGAGTCTTGCTCTGTCGCCCAGGCTGGAATACAGTGGCATGATCTTGGCTCACTGCAGCCTCTGCCTCTCAGGTTCAAGCAATTCTCCTGCGTCAGCCTCCCGAGTAACCGGGATTACAGGCATGCACCACAATGCCCAGCTAATTTTTGTATTTTTAGTAGAGATGGGGTTTCACCATGTTGGTCAGCCTGGTCTTGAACTCCTGACCTCCAGTGATCCACCCACATTGGCCTCCCGAAGTGCTGGGATTAGAGGCAGGAGCCACCGTGCCCGGCCTTCTCTTCTTTCCTTACGCTATGCAACCACCTGAGATTATCCTCATCCATTCCCTTCCTTCAACTACCACCTACAACCTAATGACTCTCAAATCTATGTCTCTAGTCCAGACCCTTCTCCTGAGACACAAGCACATATGTACAGCTGCCTTCTGGACATCTCTACTTGGATGTCCCACAGACACCAAAACAGTATGTTCAAAGCTGAACTCATCATGTCTCTCCAAATGGCTTCTCCTCCTGTGTTGCTTAACCTGGTGAATGGCACCATCATCCACTCATTTACCTAACCATTCAATCAACACAGACACAATCCCTAATAGTCATCTCTAATGTCTCCCGTCTTTCATCCCCCATCTCCAAATCCTGCTGATTTTATCTCCCATCTCTCTCAAATCTACTCTCCATCCACACCATCCTGCCAGCATGCCTAGTCCAAGGTGGTTGTTGTTTCTTCCTCCTCCTCCTCCTCCTCCTCTTCTTCCTTTTCCTCCTTTCTTCTTCTTTCTTGTTCTTCTTCCTCTTCTTCTTCTTCCTCTTCCTCTTCCTCTTCTTCCTCTTCCTCTTCCTCTTCTCCTTCTTCTTCTCCTTCTTCTTCTCCTTCTTCTTCTCCTTCTTCTTCTTCTCCTTCTTCTTCTCCTTCTTCTTCTTCTTCTTCCTCCTCCTTCCTTTTTTGAGACAGAGTCTCGCTCTGTCGCCCAGGCTGGAGTGCAGTGGCCGGATCTCAGCTCACTGCAAGCTCCGCCTCCCGGGTTCACGGCCATTCTCCTGCCTCAGCCTCCCGAGTAGCTGGGACCACAGGCGCCCGCTACCTCGCCCGGCTAGTTTTTTTGTGCTTTTTAGTAGAGATGGGGTTTCACTGTGTTAGCCAGGATGGTCTCAATCTCCTGACCTCGTGATCCACTCGTCTCGGCCTCCCAGAGTGCTGGGATAACAGGCTTGAGCCACCGTGCCCGTCCTTTCTTCTTCTTCTTTCTTCTTTCTTCTTCTTCCTTATTCCTCCTCCTCTTCCTCCTCCTCTTCCTCCTCCTCCTCTTCTTCTTTCTCTTCCTCTTCTTCCTCTTCCTCCTCTTCCTCCTCCTCCTCTTCCTCCTCTTCTTCTTCCTCTTCCTCTTCTTCCTCTTCCTCCTCTTCCTCCTCCTCCTCTTCCTCCTCCTCCTCTTCCTCCTCCTCCTCTTCCTCCTCTTCTTCTTCTTCTTCTCCTCCTTCTCCTCCTCCTCCTCCTTCTCCTCCTCCTCCTCCTTCTCCTTCTTCTTTTTCTTTTTCCCTTTTTTTGAGATGGAGTCTTGCCCTGTCACCCAGGCTGGAGGGCAGTGGCGCCATCTCAGCTCACTGCAACCTCTGCCTCCCGGGTTCAAGCGATTCTTCTGCCTCAGCCTCCTGAGTAGCTGGGATTACAGGTTCATACCACCATGCCCGGCTAATTTTTCGTATCTTTAGTAGAGACAGGGTTTCACCATGTTGTCCAGGCTGGTCTCCCTTGCTCTGTCTCCCTGGCTGGAATGGAGTGGCGCAATCATGGCTCACTCAAAAGCAAACTCCTGGACCCAAAGGATCCTCCCGCTTCAGCCTCCCAAGAAGTTGGGACTACAGGCGTGCACCACCATACCTGGCTGATTTAATTTTTTTTTCTAGAGACAGGGTCTCCCTTTGTTGCCTAGGCTGGTCTTAAACTCCTAGGCTCAAGCGATCCTCCCACCTCGGCCTCCCAAAGTGCTGGAAGTACAGGTGTGAGCCACCATGCCCCACCCAGGGCACCATCTTCTTGCTATTGCTTCCCTACAACAGCCTCCTTGCTGGTCTCCCCACTTCCCAATTCCCTTTCTTCTCTTTATTCTCCACTGGAGTGGTCTTTCAGATCTTCACATTTGCTCATATCCTTCCATTGCTTGAAATTCACCAGTGAGGCCGGGCGCGGTGGCTCATGCCTGTAATCCCAGCACTTTGGGAGTCTGAAGTGGGCGGATCACGAGGTCAGGAGATGGAGACCATTCTGGCTAACACAGTGAAACCCTGTCTCTACTAAAAATACAAAAAATTAGTTGGGCATGGTGGCGGGCGCCTATAGTCCCAGCTACTCCAGAGGCTGAGGCAGGAGAATGGCGTGAACCCGGGAGGCTGAGCTTGCAGTGAGCCGAGATCGCACCACTGCACTCCAGCCTGGGTAACAGAGCGAGACTCCGTCTCAAAAAAAAAAAAAAGAAAGAAATTCACCAATGGGCTCACACCTGTAATCCTAGCAGTTTGGGAGGCCAAGGTGGGTGGATCACCTGAGGTCAGGAGTTTGAGAACAGCGTGGCCAACATGGCAAAAACCCATCTCTACTAAAAATACAAAAAATTAGTCGGGCGTGGTGGCGGGTGCCTGTAATCCCAGCTACTAGGGAGGCTGAGGCAGGAGAATCGCTTGAACCCTGGGGGCATAGGTTGCAGTGAGCTGAGATCATGCCACCTCACTCCAGCCTGGGTGAAAGAGCGAAATTCTGTCTCTAAATAAATAAATAAATACATTCACCAATGGCTCCTCGTAGATCTCAGGAGGAAGTCGAAAGTTCCCAACGTGGCCTGCAGGATCCTGCAAGATCTCACCTTTGCCTGCGTGTCCAGCCCCGTCAGTTACCACTCTACCCTTACTCTTGTTCATTCTCTCCTGTGCCTGAACTTTTTCTTCAACCTTATCCCCTTCTGCCTAACTTGTACTTATTTGGCAAGTTCCAGCTCAGAATTCCTTCCTCTGGAAAGCCTTTTCTGACTTCCCAAGACGAGGTTAAATGTCTATTACAGAAAGTCAGACACCATGCCCCACCTGTTGGCCCACTGCCCCTTCTGTGATGAGAATGTGGCTTGCACTATTCCCCAGGAGGAGCTCCAGGCAGTCGCCTGAGCCTGCCCCTATCTGCTTCCAGCTGGTGACTGGACAAGGGACAGACATTTAAGCCAGATGCAGTTAATCCATAGATTTGCCATTTATATAATTTGCCAGCTGCAAAGGTATTACAAAATGTGGAGAAAACAAGGTAGTATAGAAAGTGAGGTAGAAGATTGTCTAGAGAGAAGCCATGAAATTAAATAAGGACCCCAAGCCCCAAGGCTGTTGAAAAAAAAATTTTTTTTTTTTGACATTCACCCAGGCTAGAGTGCAGTGGCATGATCTCAGCTTACTGCAACCTGTTCAAGAAATTCTCCTACCTCAGCCTCCCAGATAGCTGGGATTATAGGTGTGCACCACCATGCCGGCTAATTTTTATATTTTTAGTAGAGATGGGGTTTCACCATGTTGGCCAGTCTGGTCTTGAACTCCTGCTCTCAAGTGATCTGCCCACCTCGGCCTCCCAAAGTTCTGGAATGACAGGTCTGAGCCACTGCGCCCAGCCCGCTGTTGATTTTTGAGGGCATTTTACTGTATCAGAATGTTTAGTTGTAAGCAACAGAAAATGGTCTGCCTAATTTAGGCTGCAAAGGAATTAATTAAAAATACATTGGTGGGGCATATTTCCCTTTTTTTTTTTTTTTTTTTTTTTGGAGAGGGTTGAGATGGAGTCTCTCTCTGTCGCCCAGGCTGGAGTGCAGTGGCGTGATCTCGGCTCACTGCAAGCTCTGCCTCCCAGGTTCACGCCATTCTCCTGCTTCAGCCTCCCGAGTCGCTGGGACTACAGGCACCCGCCACCACGCCTGGCTAATTTTTTTTGTATTTTAGTAGAGACGGGGTTTCACCGTGTTAGCCAGGATGGTCTCGATCTCCTGACCTC